CGAGCGAGGGCAGGGGCCGGGTGCGGTCGGGTCGGGCCGAGCTGGATCGGGCTGGAGTCTGAACTGACTTCCGCGAGCTCACAGGTGCTTTGCAGTTCCGACGCCACTGAGACTGGGGTGCGCTGCTGCCGCCAGGTGTGCCTCGGAGGGACCGCCCCCCGTACCGCTGATTGGCTGAGGGTTCACCTGCCGGCCACAGCCAATCAGCAGCGCGGACCCCTCCCCCGGACGGAGCTAACGGCCCGCCCCCCGGCCTCGCGCAGACCCGGTGACCCTCTAGCCTGGAGTTGCTGGGGTCTAGGTGGGTTATGGGACCTGCACGGTTCTGATTCCACTGGGTTCGAATCCCAGCACCGCTGGTGGCTCACTAAGACCTGGGATCAGGAAGGGCTTTTACACTTGGCTGAGTTATTTTGTTTTTTGGGTTTTGTTTTTGTTTTTGTTTTTTTGTTTGTTTTGGAAATAAGGTCTCACCCTTTCACCCAGGCTGGAGTGCAGTGGTGCGATCACAGCTCACTGCAGCCTTGAACTGGGCTCAAACAGTCCTCTGGCCCCAGCCTCTCTAGTAGCTGGGAGTACAGGTGCACACGACCACACCAGGCTAATTTTTTTTTTCTTTTGTCTTTTTGTAGAGAGACGAGTCGGGGCAGACAGGGGCAGTGGGGGCGCTGTGTCTCCCTATATTGCCCAGCCTGGTCTCCAACTCCTGTGCTGAAGTGATCCTCCTTCCTTGGCCTCCCAAAGTACTGGGCTTACAGGTGTGAACCACGAGCCACTGAGCTAGCAGCCTAATTTTTTGTGTGTTTTGTTTGTTTGTTTTTTGAGACAGAGTCTCACTCTGTCTTGCCCAGGCTGGAGTGCAGTGGCACGATCTTGGCTCACTGCAACCTCTGCCTGCCGGGTTCAAGCGACTCTCCTGTCTCAGCCTATTGAGTAGCTGGGACTACAGGCTTGTGCCACCGGACCAACTAATTTTGTATTTTTAGTACAGATGGGGTTTCACTGTGTCTGCCAGGCTGGTCTGGAACTCCTAACCTCAGGTGATCCACCCTCTTCCGCCTCCTGAAGTGCTGGGATTACAGGCGTGAGCCACTGCAACCTGCCTCAAGTGGCCTAATTTTTAAAAAAATTTTTCGAGAGACGGGATCTCACTATGTTGCCCAGGCTGATCTCAAATTTCTGACCTCAGGTGATACTCCTGCCTCAGCCCCTTTATTGAGTTCTTATTTTTTAATCTAGTCTTTTTTTAACTGCAGGGTTCCATGGGTTAGTGAGTCAGCAAATTGATTCCCTAGGTCAGGACCACCTCCCAAAGCCTCAGTTTCTCCACCCTCCTAATGGGAATAATGATCAGAAATGTCTCCCTATGTTGTTGTGAGGCTCCCATACAATAAATGACAAGTGTTTCTTGAGCCATAAATGCTCTGTACAGAAGTGAGGGGTAAAAATAGTAACAACAGGGCCGGGTGCAGTGGCTCACGCCTGTAATTCCAGTACTTTGGGAGGCCGAGGCGGGCGGATCACGAGGTCAGGAGATCGAGACCATCCTGGCTAACACAATGAAACCCTATCTCTACTAAAAATACAAAAAATTAGCCAGGCATGGTGGTGGGTGCCTATAGTCCCAGCTACTTGGGAGACTGAGGCAGGAGAATGGTGTGAACCCGGGAGGCAGAGCTTGCAGTGAGCTGAGATCGCGCCACTGCACTCCAGCCTGGGTGACGGACGGAGAGTCTGTCTCAAAAAAAAAAAAACAGTAACAATAGGTGCTGGGCATTGAAGATTACTGTGCCAGTCTCTGTACTAAGCATTTGACACTGACCAGTTCTTTTCTTTTTTTTTTTTTTTTGAGATGGAATCCTGCTCTGTCTCCCAGGCTGGAATGCAATGGTGTGATGTTGGCTCACTGCAACCTTCGCCTCTTGGGTTCAAGTGGTTCTCCTGTCTCAGCCTCCTGAGTAGCTAGGATTACGGGCATGCACCACCACAACTGGCTAATTTTTGTATTTTTAGCAGAGACAGAGTTTCATCATGTTGGCCAGGCTGATCTCCGACTCCTGACCTCAGAAGATCCGCCTGCCTTGGCCTCCCGAAGTGCTGGGATTACAGGCATGAGCCACTGTGCCCAGCCACTGACCAGCTCATTTAAGCTCATCAAAACAACCCAAGAGCTGTATTATTATTCCCATTTGATAGATGGGCAACTGAAGCTTGGAGAGGTTGAGGCCAATGAGAGGAGGCACAGGACTGGAACCGACCTCTCTGATTCCAGGGCCTTTCTTCTAACAATCAGCTTCATCTCATGTGGTCCGTCTTCCAGCTGGAGCTGCAGTTTTCAGTCTGTTTTTTGATGTTGACCTGGAAGAGACCTTTAGAGTTCACCCAAACCTACGATTTGCAAATAACTTGTTCAGTGTCACATAGGCAGGTCAATGTCAAAGCCAAAGACCAGAACCCAGGATCTTCTGACCCCCAAAGTGAGGCTCTTAATGCCACAGCCACGCCATGGCTACCACCACCTTCTCCAGAGAATTCTGTCCCCAGTGAAATAATTTTAGGATCAAAAATAGAATAGATAGGGGCCAAAGGTCTCAGGTCCTGTGCCAGTGGCCCTCCAGCACCCACCGTCCTCCACCAAAAGACAAAAACAGAATAGACAGGCAAATGTTAGGTCAGACAACTTCCCTGTCTGACTGCCTGTGGCCAGCCACATCTGGGTGGCTAGTCTACCCCGACAAAGGCACCTCCTTTCCCTTTATCCTGCAAGCCTGGTTAGAACTACACAGCATTAAGTGGAGTCAGCCACTCACTAGCCCTGTGACCTTGGGGAAGTCAGTGTTCTCCTTTGTATAAGTGAGTTGGCATGAGCTAATACAAAAACAATTGCTAAGCAGAGTTCTTGGCTCATCATAGCAACTGCTCAATAAATATTTGAAGTGGGGGTGACTCTTTCAAAAGGCCCACCCCCTACTTCCCTTCCTCCTGGGGAAGGCCATGTTTGGAATATTTCACCCAGAGCTAAAGGTGCCTCTGAGCCCATCGAGGGTAATTTCTCAACTGCAGATGATTTATGGATAGCCCAGCGCCCCCCCTCCAACCTGTCCCCTCAATTTTAATGGGTTTCCAATCAGGTCTTTTGGATGTCTGTATCTTGGCTCCCTCTGCTCTTAACCCACCAGGAGGCTCAGAGGGAAAAGGCTCCGGTATTTCCTTTCCCACTAGGATCATGCTTTGAACAAGATAATGGAAATACAGAAAGAGGCGTTTCCCCCATGGGGCTGCACTGTCTGCTTATTTTTTTCCTCTCAGTTATGTAAAAATACATATTTTATACCATCGCTGGGCCCAGGGAGACTTTAGGGCTTTACTTTCTTCTACCCAGCAAGCCTTGGCCTTGTAACTCTGCAGTGACTCTCATCGACTCTTCCATTACACTCTGATAATTCAATAAAAAGGATTTTAGAAAACAATTAGGGGCAGCACAGTCAGGCCAGGCCTGATGCGTTCTTCAGACTTCTCGCAAGTCCTTCTCCGAGCTCTAAAGAGTAGATCAGGTGTCCAGGGTGAGGCGGGAACACAGAGGGGCTCCTTGTGGAAGACAGGTGCTGTGTGATTTTTACAACGCACTGAATTGCCTCTCTGCGTCCTGTTTGTTTATTTATTTATTTAGTGACAAGGTCTTGCTCTGTTGCCCCGACTAGAGTGCAATGGCGCGATCTCGGCTCACTGCAGTCTCTGCCTCCCAGCTTCAAGAGATTCTTGTGCCTCAGCCTCCTGAGTAGCTGAGATTACAGATACACGTCACCACACCTGGCTAATTTTTGTATTTCAGTAGAGACGGGGCTTCGCCATGTTGGCCAGGCTGGTCTCAAACTCCTGACCTCAAGTGATCCGCCTACCTCAGCCTCCCAAAGTGCTGGAATTACAGGCGTGAGCCACTGTGCCCCGCATCTGTTTTCTCTTCTATCAAACAGGGATACCTCAGCGGGCCTGATGGCTCACAACTGTAATCGCAGCACTTTGGGAAGCTAGTTGGGAGGTGAGAAGATCACTTGAGCCCAGGAGTTTGAGACCAGTCTGGGAACATGGTGAAACCCCATCTCCCCCCAAAAAATTATTTTGAATTAGCTGGGCGTGCTCGCTTCGGCAGCACATACACTGAAGTTGGAATGAATTAGCTGGGCATAGCAGTGCATGCCTATAGTCCCAGCTACTCTGGAGACTGGGGTAGGAGGATCATTTGAGCACAGGAGGTTGAGGCTTCAGTGAACCATGACCACGCCACTTCACTCCAGCCTGGATTCACTTCTGGCTCTGCCATTAGTTGAGCAGCATAAGTCATTTTATCTCCACCATTTTGGTTTCCTCATATGTAAAATGGGGATGTTGATAGCACTTAATTAATAAGGTTCTTGTAAACACTCTGCAAAGGTGAGTGATTAGCCCTCTTGGCCCAATACATTCCCTGTCCAGTTCTAGGCAAAATTGTGAGCTGCCGGTAGCCTCGCCTGCCCCAGGCTCTCCTTCCCCCACCCCCACCACTAAAGCTCCTCAGGTTATCTCTTGCATCTACTGGAAAAAATTCTTTCACGCTGGCCACGTTCATCATTTCGAACCTCCCAGGGCCGACTGCGCTTTAAAGAGGGCTCTAGAGAAAGACTTTTCTTCCTTCAGAGGAGTTGTAAATGCTGTCCAGGGTTTTAACCTGTTGTCTGTGGCTGGGCTCTGGTAGGGTCCGTGAATCCCCTGAGACTGTTCACAAACCTGTCCGTGCAGGTGATAAGGCCCATTGTTTTCCTAACATCTCAACTGGGGAAAACCCAAACTCCGGGAGTTGAGCTTTCTCTGAGATCTTGCTGAGATCCAGCGCTAACAGTGGAATTTCAGGCATCACTGGGGAAAAGAAATGTTTGGCCAGAGGCCTTGCCCTTGAGATCACTGCAGGTAGATAAGAGAACCTGCCACCTGGCAGATAACAGACCCGGCATGATGGGATCACAGACTCCAGGTTTCCTTATGGCAGAGGACAGACTTTCACTTCCTGGGTGTTTTGGCCACTGGCCTGCCTGGAGGCTAAAGATTAATCCTTCAGGCAGTCTTCTCCCTTTCATCTCCTGACAAGGGGTGCAGTCATGGGGTTCAGACTGGGGTGGGAGTTGCCCCTCACCAGACCTCTGCGGAGAAGAGTCCAACCGCCAGCCCCACTGGGGAGGAATCCCCAGAGAAATTGGAATTGCTAGGGATTGCAGCCTGATCAGGCTCCTGGCTAGGTGGGTTAGAGGAGGCTCCCTTCCTGCTACTCCTAGAGGCTCCTGACACCTCTGCTGGCCTGGCTGCCTGCCAACATGGAGGGGTGGGAACTGGCTATACCACCTCCAGTTGAAACGGTGCTAACTGATAGGGGTGCCGCCCTTCCAGTCGGCAAGAAAAAACAGTTTTATATAAAACACAAAGTAAAGAAAATAGTGTAACACACACTATGTATAGTATAATGAAACCCCAGGTATTCATCACTCAGCCCCAACAGTAGTTTTTTGCAATTTTTAAAGCTTTTGTAAACTTTGTAATTGTACCAAATCTTTCATCTTTGTAACTTTGCATTCTTATTTTTGTCTTTGCAGGAATTTTTTGTTTGTTTTTGAGACAGGGTCTAACTCTGTCACCCCGGCTGGAGTACAGTGGCCCAATCTCGGCTTACTGCAGCCACGACCTTCTGGGCTCAAGCCAATCCTCCCACCTCAGCCTTCCAAGTAGCTGAGAAGGCAGGCATGAGCCACCACACCAGGTTAATTTCTGTATTTTTTGTAGAGACAAGGTTTCATCGTGTTGCCCAGGCTGGTCTCAAACTCCTGAGCTCAAACGATCCGCCTGCCTCAACCTTCCAAAGTGCTGGGATTACAAACAAGAGCCATCACGCCCAAATTATATATATATATGTGTGTGTGTATATATGTGTATATATATGTGTGTATATATATGTGTGTGTGTATGTATATGTGTTTGTGTGTGTGTGTGTGTGTGTGTGTGTGTGTATATATATTTTTTTTTTTTTGAGATAGAGTTTTGCTCTTGTTACCCAGGCTGGAGTGCTGGAGTGCAATGGCGTGATCTCGGCTCACTGCAACTTCTGCCTCCTGGGTTCAAGCCATTCTCCTGCTTCAGCCTCCCAAATAGCTGGGATTACAGGCATGCGCCACCACGCCTGGCTAAGTTTTGTATTTTTAGTGGAGACAGG